AGATCCCGATATGCAGCTGAGGCACGAATTAACTTGAACTTTGAATTAGCGGCACGAATTGACTTGAACACTTATACCCATGGCTACCGGGATGTCTAACGAGCCGTTCCCAGAAGCAATCACGGCTGCACTGCCTCCACAAGCCCGCCGGCGGGTGGGACGCCCTCCTGCGCAGCAGACCCTTCCCCGCTCTCTGGCATGCCCGCTCGCGGTGCCAGGTCACGCCATCCCACCGCGCCCCCGCGCGCGGTCCATGACGACTCGGCGGCGGCGCCTGGCCGCGCCTGGCACGAGCGGCTCGCCAGCCCAGGTCCGGGCTCCGGCAGCCAATCAGAGGCGAGCTGGGCAGGGCGCGGCTCGGGCAGCGGCGGCGGCAGGCTAGCGAGAGCCAGCGAAACTGAGAACCGCACATTCATTCGCAGGCGCTTGGCGCGGCGGCGCGCTGGACTGATCACCGGTGGCGGTGACGAGAACAGTGCAGACTCGTTAGTTCGCGGCGAATTTTTATGTAATTATTTACATTTGTATTTTATATTTTCATCTTCAAATATATTCTATTTATTTATTCATTTATTTCCGACGCAACTTTGTAAGAATGAAACTTTGACGTCACATCTTGTCTAGCATGTCAGCAGCCGGTGCTTATTAAATCCGGCGAGCTACCAGCTTCACACTGCTCGCCATCGGTCACCACCCTCCACCGGACCCACCATCAGCCACCAAACCCATCCACATTCCCGATGAGGGCACCAAGGGCGGCTCCCACGAACGGCGGCGATTAGCCGAGGTGCTTGGCTCCGCGGGCGGCCATGGAGCGTGCGAACCGACCTTGCAATGTGCCGTCCGTGGGCGGAAGGCTGTTATCTGCAGCCAGGCCGCCGGTCGAGGACGCGGCCGGGCTTAAGTCACGGGCAGACCTTGAAGTCACGTGGGCGCTCAGAAAAGATTTAGACTGGAAACGAAGGGGTTCGGGATGAATCTAGAGGATCAATGGACTTGTAGTTTCCCTTTTTGGGAGGATTGACAGTGAAAACTCTCCAAACCGCCTCTAAAGTCAGTAAAAAACCGTTAATCCCCGGGTTTGGCTCACATTTTTCTCTAAGGTGGGGCGGGGGGGGGGGCGCCGCAAATGAATAGGAAATTACACCACAAGGAAGCGGTCAAACGTCTCTACGTAGGTAATGATTATCCATGGCAACGCTATTGGATTACCTTCGGATAACAATGAATTGCTATGGATACAAATTGCAATGCCCTTGATTTCCACCGATCACAGACCTCTCCAAACATAGTGGAAAGGTCTATGCCTGGACACAAATATCATTTTATTTCGCAGATCTCGAAGACCGCAACTTGTCTTTTGAGTCTTGAGCGTCTACGTGACTGCGAAAAAATTATGGAAAGCTGTCGCCCTATGGATCATACTCGGTGCCGCTGCCCTGCACTAGTGCGGTCACCCCTATTACGGGCTGAGAAGGACGCTCGTGCAGCGTCACACTGACTCACGCCTCCCAGAAGCCTGGCAAGCTGGTGCGGTCGGGGAAACCAGCCGCCGCGCGGACACTCCTATTGCGTCACCGTGCCGCGGCCGGGCCGCCTTGCGGTCAGTCCGAGTCAAAGGCAGTTCAGATGAGTCCGCACAGCGACCAGGCGGAGACGTGACTACGCCGGACTCGCCCCTCCCCCCCCCCCCCGGACGTGCGCGAGGCCGATCGCCCACGTCAGGGCCGGGCGTGGGCTCGGCGAGCGCGGCAGCTTTCCCCGCCTCCCGCTGCTGCCGCTGCGCCGGCGTGGGCTGTTGTCGTGGGCCGGGCTAGGACGGCCCCCGGCCCGGCCGCCTCGCAAAAACCAGCCATCTGCGAACGCGCGGTCGGTCGGCCCGCGGCAGGGGAGAGGCCGGGTTTGGTGCTGGCGGACGCTCCTCCCTCGCACTCCGAGGGAAGGAGTCACGGTCTCCGGTGAAGCCAGCTGACGCGCCAGATGAGTTCAGGTGCAGTAGCGGCGTCCCTTCGGAAGAAGACTTCGTACTCCGCCGTGCATAAGAGGCACTGCTGCAGTTCTAAGCTTCCCCCGCCTCCTGTTCGCCTTTTTTATTTTGGTATGTGTGTTAGGCGGGCTTCTCGCATGCTCGCGACGCCGTGACCCCTGTAAACGGTGACATTGGATTAATCGATTGCGCGAGAGGAGCTTTCGCAGACTCAACACACAGACTCAGACAGACGAACACACAGACTCAGAAGCCTTTGCTGGAAGGCTGGCCTTGTAAAACCACAGCATGGATGGCAATAATCCATGGGATTTCACAGAGTTAGGAGTTCCTGGTACATCACCCAGCTATGCGCTGCAATCTGCTGCTGCCAAATGTCAGACAAGCAGGTGCTTGTAAGGTGCTTGTATCTGTGCGTGCTTGTAAACCTGCTTATAGAAACATGATTGAAGTTTTGTGCATCTATTGCAGTAAGCTTTGCCTTGGCCTTTGCGTGAACACTGTCTGGGAACAGCGCTGAAAATTCTTGAGATGTACCGCATCTGAAAAACTGTTCTGCATAGGCTGCAAGCAAGAAACGGCACTCTTGCTGAATTTTGTGGAGTAAGCATGTCATTTATGTATTCAATTAGTCGTTGTTTTGAAGATCATGCGTATAAGCAGTAAAACATGTTTGCAAGGACAAGTTTACATTATTCGCAGCTTTGAACCTAGGCTGTCCCAGTTTTTCTCAACTCGCCTTTCCGAAAACATGATACGTCATCGATTTAGGAAACAATGGCCATGTCTCAATGAGGAGAAAACATTTACAAAAACATATATCTGGTTTTAAGTTGGTAAGTGATTTTGCGGGGAACATTGTGCACATAGATAAGACAGTAGTAATCGACAGTAGTAATCGTAGGGAAACCAGGATAATGGAGAGATAGATGCGTTGATATTTTGGCAACATGCCTTTATGAAAACGAATAACAGTAGTAAATTCACATTACTATCTAACTAAAAATCATAATTCTTAGTTAGATATGCACTGTATCGTAGTAATGGCTAGCAATTACTTCTTGTTTAATCCCCTGAATATGGTGACATTTAAAATCTGCGGCTCACTGTTTCAAAAAGAAAACCTGAAAAATCGGGTAGGATCGGCAGGCAATTTTGGATTTACTGCTGTTATTCTTTTCGATAAAGGCGATGGCTTCGACGTTGTCGAAATATCAATGCATCTATTACTCCATCCTCCTGGACTTCCGACGCGGAATAAGACTATTGCTACTGTCTTATATACATACCTGATTGCCTGTGAGACTGCTTGCTGCCGATCACAGTTTCGTAAAGTTCAACGATGGCAACTGCCTCACCCCGCAGAACCACATCTGAAATAGCACGTGTTATTTCCCGAAAGACTGTGACGTATAATGCTAGGCAGAATGTTGGCTTGCGTGCGTCTGAAAATGTGTTTGGAGGAACAGGAAAAAAACTTACAACCTGCCGATGGCCTGAGGCCGAAAGCTCGTAGTTCATTTTGGCAGGTTTCTGATAACCAATGCGTAATTACTGGCATGCAGTTGATCACCTATGCGCTTATTAAATGTCTACAATCGTGCCAGAGACCCTAACTATACTGAATACCTGATGCCCGACCACATGAATCACTAACGAGGCACTGTCAGCTGCCACAATATTAGGGCCTTTTTTGTTTGTGATTGGGGCTCGAGGCATGTCCACATCGAGCGACGAGAATATCACCTTACCCATGACAGTAACTGACTGCTTTTCTTCACCCCATTCCCACCATTAGCAGCACATTAATTGCCTAACCGCGCTCACGATGTCGTCGGGGCTTCCGGGGGCCGGTTTGTGGCCGCGATACCCGATAAGACTGCAGGACGGTCACTAAGCTGACGAACAGCGCGCGCCAGCCAGCTTCGCGTGTCCTCCTTTCGAGGGCGCCACTGCGCCTGCTCTTTCGTCGCCCTTGCAGCCCCGACTAGTTTCCCGTGAACGCGCCCTGCAAACCAGCTCGAGGGCGGCGGCGCGGCGGTGATCTCAGGCATCGTAAGCTGCAGAGCCCTCCGGGGTCGGAGAGTGCACCGGCGGAGGGTCACGCCACTTTCGAGTGCTGGCGGCGCGACAGGCGAGCCGCGCACCAAAGCGCGCATTCCGCACAGTTGTCGCAGTTTGCGCTGGAATGTTGCCGGTTTGTGTGTATGTGGGTCAGCGCACCGCAGCGGCCGCGGCTTTGGCCCGGTTGTCGTTGTCACAAGGCCGAAGTCGGGTCGGTTGCTGGCTTGAGGAATTTCGGTGACTGACGCAAAAACTGTAGGCCGCAGTGGCATGGATAATGCGAAATGGGACGATGACATGGAATGCATATAGGCAGTAGGGATCAGAGGTGCTTCGAGTGTGTAGAGAGGGGGGTGGGGTAGGAGCTATTTGTCCCCTTAGGAGCTTCTATTGCTGTAGGTGCTAGCGACAATGGCATCACTTAAGCTGCCTGACCCCCCAGTTAATCGACCTGCCAGATCCCGGCACACCAGCTGTCTGCCCTTTTCCCTGGAGCACTCGCTGGCCCTCTCTGATGTTAAATAAAAGCGACGATCACCCTGAAAGGCAGGATAGGCGGCATGAAAACGGTTTTTCTTCGATCATGCAATTACAGATCTGGCTGTTGTTGCTGTTGTTGCCCGTTGGTACATGAGATAAGTGCATGCCATCTGAGCGGCCTTGAGAGCCGAGCTCACTGGCTCACGCTTCAGCTCAGCCGTCTGTTGACTTACAAGTGTGCGTGTTTAGAAATATCAGCGAGCTAAAGCAAGTGTTTTATGCACAAGGAATGTATGCGCTGATTTCGGTTCTTAGAATGTTGAAAGCCGCTGTCCGTAGAAGCTCATCTTAGCGGACCGGTTCTTAAGTAGAGTATGTCACGGGTGAATGAGCGCACCAGCTTAACGTAGTCCTGTCTTGGCCTGATCAACGTAGGCTACAGATTACTAATTACATGTTTCGTTTGCAGTGGACCTGTACCTGAGTCCGGTGGAGACGTACTGCGAAAACATCAACTACTACATCCCCGACGAGGAGAACTTGACCAAGACTTTCTCCGAGGAGCTGATGGCCCGACTGCGTGAGTGTCCACCCACCTCACCGCTCACGGTCTGCAGGTCACGGTCTGCAGATCACGGTCTGCAGGTCACGGTCTGTAGCTCATGATCTGAAGCTCACGGTCTACAGGTCACGGTCTGTAGCTCACGATCTTCAGGTCGCGATCTGCAGCTTACTATCTGCAGGTCACGGTCTGCAGGTCACGATCTGCAGGTCACAGTCTGCAGGTCACGGTCTGCAGGTCACGGTCTGCAGGTCACAGTCTGCAGGTCACGGTCTGCAGGTCACGGTCTGCGGCTCACGGTGAGCGGGTCACGGTCTGCAGGTCGCGGTCTGTGGCTCACAGTCTGCGGGTCATGGCCTGCAGCTCACGATCTGCAGGTTCCGTTCTGCAGCTCAATCCGCATCTCACGGTTTGCAGCTCACAGTCTGCAGCCCGCGGTCTGGAGCTCAAAGTCTGTAGCTCACTGTCCGTAGCTTACGGTTTGTAGCTCACGGTCTGTAGCTCACGGTCTATAGAACACGGTCTGCAGATCGTGGCTTGCAGCTTTCGGTTTGCAGCTCATACGCCAGGCCTGGAACTCACTGTCATCGTTCCTGGTCTGTTGCTCACTGGTGGTACAGTGCCCGCAGCTGGCTGCCCTGGCGTCGAGCATATGAAGTCTCCGAGCTGAGTGAATTACTCACATCGTTAGCTTCCAGTTCACAGTTGAAGTCTCGCTAGATGCTTGGCCAGCGTCGCAGTCCTCGCAGGACGCTCCGCGTTAGTCGCAGTTCAGCGTGCTGAAAGCCTCAGTCAGCACTGCGTAAAGCAATAACCCCGATCCTGTTCACTAATCCGGCGTAAAATGCAGCGCGAGAAATGCCAATAAACTTCCAGGCTTATTGGCGTGTTCTCAGCCGCGGGTCTGATGCAGTTATGCACAGCTGGGCACCCTGCAATCGTCTCGCAGCTGCGGTCTCACAACCACACATAAACTATTGTTTGCTCAACGAGATGACAGGAGATATCAACTAATTCCTGTGATGTTGCACCTTTGGCCTCGGTGAGCGAGTCTGACAAGTGTCGTTGTTAAATACAGTTTATGTTGTTCCAGACATGGCACGCTCGATGATAGCGCTGTTCATTGTGGCATTCTTCTTCATCTTTGTCGCCTTCTGGACGGGAGTGGTCGGCTGCTGGCGCCGCTCAGCGGGCAACATCGGAACTACAGCTGCCCTCATGTTGTTTGCCTGTGAGTGACGCAGGTTGAGTTTCATCACAAGGGGAGACACGTAAGGTGGTGTGCATGCGAATTGGAGTAAAGAATGTCCACACGTGAAACTGTTTCAACTATTCCAGACATACACAGCGATGATTCGCGATCGCTTGCGACCAAATACCGTTTAGCAGTAGCTTCGTAAAGGCGGGGAATTACCGCAAAGACTGAACAGGGGAGCGTACATAATCGGTTTTTTGGATGAAATAGACGAGCAAGTGTAAATCAGGACGTTCGCCGCGTGGCGCATAGGGTGTCGCCCTCATAAGCGGGTGGCCTACGCTCCAAACCCATCTCACGCTATCCGGCTGATCTGCGCCGCTGATCGGCCCTGACCTGAGTTCTGACCCGACCTGCGCTCCTGACCTGTGGTCCTGACCCGCGAGATGCCGCCGTCGCTTTTGACCAGACTTCAGCCAAACCAGCTTGTCTTGTCTCCGACGCAGGCCTCTTCTCGGCTGGCGCCATGGGGCTGTGGCACGGAGTGCAGTACTTCGAGCAGAAGAAGCTGAACGAGGAGCCGTACTACCGCAGTTGGCCCCCGGTAAGACCCCAGCGCCAGGTCACGGGTCACCTCCAGTACAGTGCCGCCACGCGCCGTGCCCGGTCACGCACCACCGGTCCGCCGGCGGGGACACTGACGCCACTAGTGGGGTGCGGGGAGGGGGGGGGGGGGGCACGCAATTAGATGGCACGTTTGCTATCAGTAGGCTGTTGCTGACACTCGCCAGCCGTAAGTGTCCCTGAAGGGCTGAGAGGGGGAGCACCAGTGCAAAATTTATAATTAGTTTGTACCAATGCGCTCCTAATGTGCCAGAAAGACTCATATTTTTCGTCACTGGCACGGCGCCGAGGCTGATACGGATCCGCGAGATGCTGGCATGAGCAGGTGGATGTCACGCGCAGCCGCCCTGGCAATGGGCCGTTGCTTGCCCTCCACCTGCGTCAGCCTCGCGAGCGTGACGACCGCCTCCGTTCCGCTCCCCTCCGCCGGCCGTCTGCGGCTGTCAGGAGCGTTTGCGAGCGTACTTTCTGCCGTGCACCAACCCTCTTAAGCTCCTGGGCAATGGGCCCATTGTCTTTTTGCTTTTGTGCACACAGCCAGAACGCGAGCCTCTAAACCAAGGCGAAAGTAGCTGGTGGCGATAAGCGCTCACTGGCCAATGAGACACCAAAGGAGGTGGGGCTCAGCAAAAGTCAGGCGTCTGTAAAAGTGGTTCATTCATGTATTTTACCGAGGAAATTTTTTACTGCATCCGCCAAACTCATGGATGGCATTACGAGTGTGTTTTATAAAGATTGTGGTGTGCAACCCATCGCGCACTATTCAGACGTTTCGGATATTTCAGTGTCTGTCAACTGTTTGCACACGTCAAGTGACTGCATGGCCGCCGGGTGATCCCTTTGCACAAGGGACTGCGTGTGTTACGCCCACCCACGCCGCAACTGTGTCTTGGCATGCTCTGTTCTACTGAAGAGATGAGCATGGCTACTTTTTCCCTTATTTGCTTTCTCCGCTCGGGGTTATGGAGTTTTCGACACATCACGTGACGTTCAGCGCAGCGGACCTTGTTTGCGCTCCCAGAAACCAGCGTAAGGGCTATGGTTTTGCAGTCGCCCACAGCACAAGTTACACCCCTGTTTGATCCAAAATGGTGAAATCATTGTCAGAAATGTATGAGTTTCTTTCGTTCCCGTTTTCTCCCTTTCTGCACGTTGAAGATACGTTAAGTTTTGTTAAACTTCGGATTTTATTTCAGGATACTGTCTTGAAAATATAGCTTATGCATTGGCAGTGCATGTTCCAGAACGCATACAACTAGGACATAAATTCCTTCCAAGTGACAACACTGTGACATGCATCGTACCTTCTTCTGTATTGTGTCTGACTTCAAAGCGATGATCGTGCATTTCAGCTGTATCTCGCCGGTCGGAAACCATGCACGCACGCAAAGCACGAGTTTTTCCCCATTCAACCCATTCTTCTCACTTCTGTTGTCTGATTTTCTAGCTGGCGAAAAAGTATACCGATGCTGATGTAGATTGGAGCTTTTACCTGGCCGTGGGTCGGCGTGGGCTCGACCTTCTTGAGCTTCTTGTTTCTCGTTATCGCTTCGATCATTCTGCGAAGAGAACGCCAGAAGCAGGAGGCGCAGGCGCAGTACGTCATGTCAGGTAACTACGCCGCCATTGGCTAACGCTTCACGCAACGCCAGCCTGATTGGCTGGTCAGCGAGCATGCCGCACGGTGATTGGGCGCTAAAACCTTGCCCGATCCTGATTCGCCGACGACACGCGCGGCGATTGACGGAGAACCGGCGAGCCCCGCCCCTTACGCAGCACTAACAGCCGGGATTGGCTTTCAGCTGCTGCAGCGATACAGCGTGGCCGTGTTTGATTGGTCGTACTTTATCGCCTGGGTCGGGGTCGGATGGGTGCTGATCTCGGCGCTGCTCTTCGTGGGCGCTTCCATCTGCCTCAAACGCGAGAGCTACAGCGAGAAGCGCAAGAACCTGCCGTACATCATGCCCGGTAGGTAGGACGGAGCGGTGGGGCGGACAGCACGCAGGTCACCGTCCTTTCCTCACGAAGAACATGGACAATGCTGCCACTTGTGGTTCGTCAGCAAAAGGCATGGCAGAGCGGAGCCTTTCGCTCCAGGTCTGCTGCGGTGTATGGCGCTGAGTGATACTTAATTAGTTCTGTGTGTCATCACTTACATGACCTCGGGTTCTAATTCCGGTTGCCCCACGGCCCATGAGCGCCAATACGGCCGCTGCCGTAGACACTGGCGCTCCATCAAGAGGTGCTTGACGACGTGTGTCACCTTTCCAATAGTTTATTAAAAAGCAGAATGTTATTAGGTGCAGCATCTGACACTTCCAATTAGTCGATAGAATATAGCAGCGACGCAATTTTTTATCGTGATTCATTTATTATCTTTAAGCGTGTGCAGAGGATGTAAAATGATGCAAGCTCAGATGCTGACAATTCCAGTGTCATACGTTTGCTGGCTACAGGGGCGTCTCAAAAGACTTAAGGCACCCTCTGAGATGCCGTCCGCCCTGCGAGGGCTGGACACTCGCTTTCGTGCCAAGAGGCGTCGGATGACTCGATACCAATCAAAAGCACTCGCTGTATCCGCATTCTAAAGACATTCAGAGCATCCCGCTCACGATGCGCGAACCGGCGAGGCTCGACCTTGACCTCAGCGGTCACGTGCGTTCCGACCCGCGTTCGCCAGTGCTCGCCAGCGCCCAGTTCGCGTTGGCCAGTGCCAGGAGCCTGAGACCATTGCTTCGGGCAGTGAGGTGTCCATCACTGTGGAAGGCGTACATTGACGCTGATTGGTGTAGTGCGCTCACCCCCGCGGTCTGATGGCCGGTGCTGGGTCACTACAGCCACGCGGACAACCAACGAAGCGTCCATATAGTTTGTGTTTTATCTACGGGTGCGTAAGAAAACATAACTTAAGAAATCCCGACACCATACAATTTTGGCGCTCTATGTTTTCTGCATTCCTCACTTTTTATTTTGTGATCAAACGTGACGAAGGAGAACTACCCATTGAAATGGATGGACTGTCCCTTGCACCGCACTTCGTGGCTGATGCGACCACAGTAAGCGTGTTGGCACGTTTGCGCCAACCAGGTCAGCTACCACGCTAACTGTATGTCATTTATAACACGGGACTAACTTTGTCCATAACCTATATCCGATCCTGAGCCTAACCGACCTGCCACTAACTGGTGGAGGCGGGGCATGAGCCTGGTGGAGTTGGCACCTCCAGTGGATATCAGCGCAAGACTCAGCAGCACGATGCAGTCTTCAGATGCGGTCCTTAGATGTAGTCCTCAGAGAGGTCGGGTAGCGCTCGCAGCGTTTATGGCGCCCGCCAATGCGTCCTGCGCAGAGGCTAACGGCGCCTCGACCAGGACTAGTGTGCTCGTCGGCCGCAGGATGCCGCTGCAGTCGCCCACCGACGGACACAGGTGGCGCTGGCTGTCTGAACCGCGGCTCACCTGAGTGCTCAGCTGTGCGTAATGCTGCCGTGCCGTGGCCTGCTACCAGCACTCGTCGGAAATCGCGGCAGTTTCGATGCTCTTGTTACCAGCCAACGGTTTTGGTCCACCGCAAGACTTGCGTCGCCGCTGGTTGATAGCCTCAATGTGATTTGTGTCGCAGCTCGTCGCACTGGTGACCGCTGTAATCCGTTCAGGCTCACGTTGCTGCTTCGCGTAATGCGCGGGGTGGAGCTTTGACGCAAATATTCGACAGGGACGCAATCAGGGTGATATTCGGAGCGGTTGTCCGTCAAAAACAGTCTGTCTCATCCGGCGGTGTCATATACAGGCCTAATTTATGGTCGCTATTTGTGCACGCTTGGTCGGAATTTGGTTGCTGCTCTAAATAGTCTGACGAAGCTAGAGTTGACTTGACTGCAGAGAAACAATGTTGTAGTTTATCGCGTGCAAGGCTGCTGTATGAACTTTCGTTTAGTTTGGCGTCATTACGTCCCTGTGAGTTTTTCTCTATGCCATATTAGTGATAAGAATTGCTGTTTTCAGTGCAGGCCCGTTGGCAGGCTTTAATACAATGCATTGGCTCTTACATCCCAGCAGAACCTACAGCATTGAGACCGAATTCAAGCGCAAAAGTCACAATCGCTTTGGCATTTGAGTTGAAGCTGGAATCGCTTTGCAGCCCCAACACCCATAGCGAGCGAGGTCAAAATGTCCCTCGTTCATAAACGGCCAGGTGCGTACTTACCGTGCACCCCCGGCTTTCAGTGTACCCGACAAAGTCGTCCAACGGCGGCTACGGCCCCGGCTACGGCTACAACACCTACAACTACCCTGGCCCGTACTACGGCTCACAGTACGGCGGCTACAACTACTAACCTGGGTCGACGCCTCCTGTCGTCACTAGCGCCGCCTATCGTCGGCCGATGAACTTACAGTGTCCAGTGTTGCCGTGCATTCGCCCGGCGCTCGCGTGGCATCTCGGCCGGGGCGAGCCAGGCAACTCGGGATAGCCCTGCAATGCTAGTGATGCGCCAGTGCTCGTCTGAGACGGCACTCGCTTACGTCATCGCCATCGGATGCGTTCTGAGCCTGCGCTTAGCTATAGCGTTGTATGACCTTCGCCTAACACAAGTCTGATGCGAACTGACAAGACCTGTGTACATGATGTCTATGATCTGTCGGATCGCTCTTCAGTCATTGTTTCCGCAGGCGCATCGCGCATGCCGGAGCCATTGCATTGTAGCCCATCTGCCCCCGGGCACGGTGGTCGATTCTCCGCGATGTCTGTTTGATATGTGTGCCCTTCTCGTGCAGCTAAGGCATCAGACGCCTCGACCCAGTGTAGATTCTGCACGCGGTGTGCAGTCGGGACGAGATGTTGCTTGCCGTTCTCCGGCCCTTCCAAAGGCTGAGAGTTTTGTCACGCCTCGTTTCCAGCCATGGAAAATGTGTGCTCTATATCGCATTTCACAAAACAACACCGAATGGCTCGGGATCGCCGAGACATCGCCGGTCAGTGAGAGTCGCTGAGGGTCAGTGAGGGTCACTGAGGGTCAGTGAGGGTCACTGGGGGTCAGTGAGGGTCACTCCGCGAGACTTCCATGTGGAAGCCTTCCGGGGGCCCTGTACACGAGTTCCGCTGTTGACCTCCTAACCGCCTGACCCGTCTCGTCGCCCGCGTCCCGCTCTCAGATCCGCCTGTTCCGACTTGTATGTTTACCTATGCAGACAATCGATGTTCTCCTGTTTCAAATGTAGCGCAGCAACTTACTGGTGTTCCGTTGTCAATATGTCGCGCATTCTACTTATGAAGAAGCGTTTTAGTTGTAAAGGTTAGGCCGACGCGCGGCCGCTCCCAGCAGTAATTTACTGCCGCCGCGCCGCAGCAGTAAATGCCAGTGATGCAGGTTTCACATCGACATTCAGTGTGTGTTGTATTTTTGTGAGCGCGTCTCGCCGGTCGCGCCGGCCGAGAGCCCCCGATCAGTATCTCCGTCCAGTGTGCATGTGCTCCGGGGCTCCCCAGACGAGCTGGGCGCCTCGGCTGGTGTGCTCGCATGCCTGGGACGTCGTCTGTCTGTGGAGCACCCTCTGACGGCGTGTCGGTGCCCCGCGGCTTGACCTGACCTCGGTCGGTCGGTCAGCACACCTCAGCTGACGCGCCAGCTGACCTCGGCCAGCGCGCGTCGGCGACGGCGGTTGACCTGGGGTCGGCGGACGCGCCAGCCTTTCCCCGAGTGGTCAGTAGGGTGCTGCGGGTGCCGACCTCTGTCAGGGAGGGAGATCGCTCCGAATGCAGGTGTGCGCGAGCGACCGCGTGAATTAGAACATTCTGAATGGTGGAGCGCATGCGAGAATTACATAGGATAAGCCAGATGTTCAATGCCTGATTGTTGCGATGATCGTGCGTGACCATCGTTAAGAATGTACAGATTTACGTTGCTAACACTGGAAATATCGACCAGGAGGTGCAGTGACATCTCTGCCCGCATTGCACGTGTAAATGGTGTATTCGTTTACAAAGCGCAAAAATAAACCAAGCGCCTTCGTCAAGCTTGCTGTCCTCGTTCCTGACAGCGAGGGCAGCTGTTCAAACAGTCTGCGTCTGAGCCCAAATAGAGCATGGACAACGGTCCATAGACGCAAATTACTACTAGGAAGGATATGAGCACGAAATTCTGCAATGAAATGCTACGCTACGACTCAAAAATTAATATCATACCATATCGTTCATAATCTAAAACACCTTACGTCGACGCGTATTTCAATACATCACAATGTGTGCTCTAAAAGCACATTCATTTCTCTTGAATAGGTTTTGTGTTTGCTTGGTCTGTTTTCTGCATCTCCAATTCGTCTGCATGGGTACGTAACATTGCGAAGTCGCTATCTCGGTTAGGTCGTCCCTGCCACGTCACCCTGCCGACAGGCTGCACGAGCCGTCCCGATGACCCCGACAGTCTCGCCAGAAGCTCGTAGCACGGCTTTCAGATATAAGGTACTTCCAATGGCTTTCAATCAATGCTGTGAAGGCAGTACAAGCTGCAAACACGAATCGCGCTTTGTACTATAAAGACAATATGTCGGACATGGGCGCTAGTTCTTACAGAAGTAGGACATGACATCGACTAACTTAAGAAAACGTCACAACTAAGTACGTGAATTCCAGTGCACAACTCAAGCTCACGGACGAATATGCAAAAACACCACGAGCAGAGGCCAAAACGCGAACACATGACGATATTTGCTTTAGCAAACCTGTCCAGCACTGCCGCTGCCACCTATCGGCAAACTGAGGTACTACAAGTGAGTGCTACCGTGGCAATTTCGCACGGCCAATTTGGTAGGACCACCAACGCCATACAAACGTTCCATGACACAAACAACGACGCATTGAAAAGTTTGTTTCCTAAATAAATTAATTGTGTTGTCAAGAGCAGCATTTTGCACCTAAAATTAACCCATAGTTATAATTGTATTCTAATATATATATATATATATATATATATATATATATATATATATATATATATATATATATATATATATATGAGCTTATTAAATCACACGTGATGCTTACTTCAATATCTTCAAATGTGAAACATTACCTTTACGAATGTATTTCGAATTCCTAATATACACATTGCTTTCCTTACTTCATAGCTTGAATGAACTAGTCCCAAGCTAAATTGTGCCATAAAACCACGGACACATATTGGATCATTTTCTAGGGCCAAGGTACAACGAAAATGCTTATGATGTCCAACCATGGTTTGTTTACAGTTATCAGAACCGCATGCCAATCAGTTTCTGGATTTCCTTTCCTACGCGCTATGTTCGTTCAGAGACAGAGGTAGGCAATTCCTGAATGCCATTTTGGTCCCACCCACACGTAGATACGGTGTAAATTTCGCCTTGTTTTTAATTATTTTCACGTTGCCAACTAATGAAAACTACAACGGTATCACCGCACTGATATTGAATTCGTGCATTTTGTATGTAAATATTTCCATGATGGGAGGAATCCGACGTTGTAGAGATCCAGGGATAGTCTGACGTGGCCAAAGCAGCAACCATCGTTGCCATGGCACTGCATCTCCGTACGCGTATGGCGGCAATGCTCATGGTGTAACTATATACAGATCGCCCAGAGTATCGTCTGGCACGAGGGCTGTATCACGCACTGTGTCGTCCACGCGCTTTGAAGTCAGTGTACGCATACAGTCTGAGGTGTGTGCCGTTGTTTTATTTCGTGCTGAAATCCGACAGCCGTCGCCAAAAAACAAACGCTCGAAAAGGAGAAAAGAATATCCAGGTGCACAGTGCCAAGTGGCCACCAACAACGACGGAGGCAACATACAAACATCAGCATTTTCAAACAGGCCGGCCGAATGGGTGGTGCCGGGCGTCAGCGCTCATTCTCAAACGTCCCGGCTATGGCACGACGAGGAGGGGCGGGGGGGGGGGGAGGGGGAAGTGCCTGCAGCCACCTCTGCAAGCGGTCCGTGGTCCAGCGGTGGTGGACGGGCCAGCTCGGTATGCCGGTGGGCTGCAGTCGAGGCCGTGGCCTTGTTGGGTGATCCACCTGGAAAGAGTTTCTGCCAGCTGATCGTTGTGCTGGCTGTCGTTTGCTAATGTCGAACACGCTGATGCATACGTCTACTGCACATAACGCACGCGTGGCAATAGTGAAGATCCGTTATTCTGTCATAAACCAGACGACACCAGGCAACGAGCCTCCACGGTCATGATTCGCTTTACTCAGCCCATTCGCTTTCCGCACCAAATTGGCCACAGTCGCACACATGGCATTGAAGTCTGCTATGCTTACTTGTTGTCCAACCGATCTTTGTGCATTTAATCGTCATTTTCATAAATTGTGGTTCTGAATTATCAAAGAGATAAAACACCCAGCACATTATTTGGACCGTGTAACGCGACAGCCATGTGAGCGCAACTACCAATCGCTAAAAGGGACATACATAATGATTTGTGGCGTTTCCAAAAATATCAACAATACGTTGCTGACATTCCCACTCTTCTTCACATCTAGATTTGTAATACTCCCCAGCGAACTCAGTTCTGGCCGTTGCTCGTCCGGCGCAGTTAGCGAAAGTCTTGCCGAACTCGTGAGGGTTTGCGACTAAATCGACAATTTTTGCAGCGATATCACATGTTACATTGCGCAACACAGCACCACCACCCCGTGTCCGTCTCTCTCGCACGACGCCAGCCAAGCTTTGCGCACCCAACGCTCGCGTCTCTCGACTGGAACCCAACACCACTGGATTATAACATTCGGTCAATTAGCACCAACACTTAGTCAATTTGCACCTATCTCAATGTTGCAGCGTTCGACGGTTGGCTGGTGGACCGTGATACACTAACACTCGAGCAAAATGTGCAGATAAAATATATCGAACTGAAACTCAGCAGCAGCGGTCTATGCAGAGGGGTTAAGGTCAAGGATCGCGCCGTCCAGATAGACGGGAGATCGGCACCAGTCTCGCCGCAGTTGATGTGGTAAGTGACCGCAACTTCCATCACTGTCTGGGTCATCTTTTTAGTCGGCGAAACAACGGCGGTGGTTCACAAACTTATCCCAGTGACTCGTTGAGTATAAAATGCCCACTGCAGTCGGCGTGCTCCAAAATACGGATGTCTTCTTTCTGCTTGTAACTCCGGGGTTTCAAAAGGCAAACTTTCACCGTGCACTTCGCCTACGTAAGCGGCGTACGTCATCGGGGCGAGATTTATCCAATTCACACCCTGTTTCTATTTCTATACTTCTGCAGCACCAAGAGCACGGTAGTGAAATTGGGAGCGTCCAAACGTTCATGGGTTCGAGCATGAGTCCGAGTCGGTCCTGGTTCAGACCGAGTCGGTCTTGCCCGGTCTGACCCTAGACAGGTTGCAACCGTCGGTGACCCGTGACACGTAACTGGTGCAGCTTCACACCAGACATACAACACCCCTTTCTCTTAACTCTAGCACGCACAATTCCGACGCAGCGACCCTGTGATGCCCCCTCCCCTCCCCCTTCCCCACCCGGCAGAGGAACAGACTCGTCCGTCCGACGGGAGCCACGCGACAGCGGTGTCGACAGGAGCTCACGATTATCCCTGGGCAGGCTCCCGCTCAGCACGGGCGGCTTCCTTGATGTCCAGTGGCCGGCGAGTGGTGGCGGTGGTGGTGGTGCTCTCTGGAGACAAACGGCGGGTTAGGCCGACACCCAGGCGTGCGCGAGGGCGCAAGAGACGGCCCGACAGTCCTACGGGGGCGCAATGCTGGCTGCTGGCATGCCAGAGCCACCGCGAGCATCGCAGATGGGTGGGACATAGGGTGGCACATTAGCACCTTGGCGCATTGGTGGCGCAATGTCTGCCAAGCAGCCGTCTGAAAGTCATCGCTTGCTGAAGCGGTCCCCACACATGACCCATGTCATGAGCGGAGGAGGCCCGAGTGCTCAGCATCGGACATGCTTGTAATCATGATCTTGCGCACGGGATCATCGACGGCACACGTGGATGGTCTGCCCGGTGTCGTGAGTGCTGAGAACTGACAAAGGTGGCTCGCTATGGGGTAAGTCATGGAGCGAGGCGCTGGCGGCTTGAATGAAAATACCACGGGCCCGCAATCCATTTTAAAAACAGGCTGAGATGGTGCTCATCTCCTTGTTACAGTGATAGGCGGGGGGGGGGGGGGGGAATTTTGAGCCGCTAAACTGTCTTCGTCCTGATTGATTCAATATCGCCAAAGACACTGGAGATGTGCCCATGGATACTCTAATTATATAGTGAATCGGGCCTGTGGGGTGCCTCAAACATAGCCCAGATAAAACAAAATAATCACGGGCATGATCTCAACTCGAGCATTTTCCAAATCACAATCTTGGTACGATGTCACTGTAACATTTGTAGATTCGTACTTTCTTTCCCACACTCTGCCTCCTGGCATTGCGCTGCGTCTTGAGCAAATAAGTCACCATTGCGAGTACGTGCCTCGTCATTGAAAACATCTGAATGTCACAGATGAGATGCAGATGAGAAAGTCGTGCTTCTCTGTACAGAACTTACCTGTCGTCGAGGACCATTCGTCGTTCGGGATCTTCATTTTATGTTGAGCGGCCAACGGCCCTGGGGATATGAGGAAGAGACAGCTGTAGGATCAGTGGAATAGGCTCCCATCCTGACTCAGCGCCTGCAGCAAATTCCTACTTTGGCTCCACGGTCGCGAGTTTCGGAATTCGAATTCCATCAGTTTTATCGGGAGTTTGAGACGAGTTACACCCATCACGACGCGCTGCTTTCCTCTCATCCCATCACGCGGCGCTATGGACACGCACATGAGACGCAATTCAACCAGTATTTTCAAACAGATCCAAAATGAAGCGGATGTACTGCCGTTTCGTGAATGACAGATTTTTGGTGGATTACCTTGCACATCGATACACATCTAGCAAAAAGAAGTCTCCCAGCTGAAAAGGAAGCTACACCCCCGATGGCATGGAATACAAATTACATAGCGGCCGCAGTTTAGCTAAGTAGAATGAGTAAGTAACGCTCATTGCTGGTCACACCAGGTGAGCACACGAGACTGGGGAACATGAGAGCGCCTTCGAAGTACAACTTACTCGCGGTGCGCATGGTCGGCTTAGTTGCAACGGTCGAGATGGTCGCGAGGGAGTGGCTGACTCCGCCACCTCCCGGGATAGCGCGCATGGGGCCAGCAGAGCCTGTGGGCGCGACAGACCAATCAGATCATGGGGCCAGCAGAGCCTGTGGGCGCGACAGACCAATCAGATCATGGGACCAGCAGAGCCTGAGGGCGCGACAGGCAAATCAGATCATGGGGCCAGCACAGCCTGAGGGCGCGACAGGCAAATCAGATCATGGGACCAGCAGAGCCTGAGGCCGCGGCAGATCAATCAGATCATGGGGCAAGCAGAGCCTGAGGCCGCGACAGGCCAATCGGATCATGGGGCCAGCAGAGCCTGTGGGCGCGACAGACCAATTAGATCATGGGGCCAGCAGAGCCTGAGGGCGCGACAGGCAAATCAGATCATGGGACCAGCAGAGCCTGAGGGCGCGACAGGCAAATCAGATCATGGGACCAGCAGAGCCTGAGGGCGCGACAGGCAAATCAGATCATGGGACCAGCAGAGCCTGAGGGCGCGACAGGCAAATCAGATCATAGCGGGAACGCACCGTTTCTCAACGTCGTTGGTTTAACGTTCGTTCATCATGAACAACGTCGTCATGAACAACGTCATTATGGACAACGTCGCCAGTGGATAGGCCAGTGGGCGCAGGTGTTGCGACTCAGAGCACTTCAGGCTGGTGCTGACTGAGCTGCTCAGAGCATGTACCGACACAGGGCTACTGCGACGCTGAGACCCACCCAGCGGTCACAACCGAAGAACAGACCAACGACGGAGAATGCACCGACGACGGAGAACGCATCAACGGCTAAGAATGCACCAACGACGCAGACCGCACCAACGACGGAGAATGAATCAACGACGGAGAAGCGCCAACGACGGAGAACACATAAACGACGGAGAACGCACTAACGACAGAGAACGCACCAACGACGGAGAACGCATCATTGACGGAGAAGGTACCAACGCCGGAGAACGCACCAACGACAGAGAACACACCAACGACGGAGAACGCACCAACAACGGAGAACACGCCAACGCCAATGAACACACCAAAGACGGAGAACACGGTGTTACTGCCGCCCTGGCCAGACCAAACCTCACGAGCAGCAGTGTGATCGGTTTTAACCTCTTTACCAGCATGCAGTCGACACTGCGTTTTATTTTATTTATTACTCGAGCTGGATACTCAAGAACGTGTGTTTTGGTACTGAAGTGGTTTCAGATCCAGACATGGTCTTGGCATGTTTCCGATGGCACTGTTCGCCCCGGCCGCATTTTCACACCATTTTTACCGCGCTCGTCCAATGTCGGTCCGTCGCTACCCTTACCTGGGCCGCAGAGGAGCAGCAGACCCAGCAGCGACAGGAGAACGCAGAGCCAGCTCGATGACATGATGTCCCTCGGTGTGGTCCGGTCCAGCTCTGGCTCATCACGCGCAGCCTCCCTTCCACCTCACCTCTGATCCGCAGTCAGCTGATGCGGCGGTCACCAGGCCGCGACACGGCCGACGGTCTGTATTGGTCGTCATGGGCGCTAGGGGGGGGGGGGGGCATCCCGCTCTCAGAACGGCACCCGCCGGCCGTGCTTTCCAACAAAGGCAAAAAAGCGCCCACTCGCCCGTGAGCGTGGGAGACTCACATCAATACCAACCCTTCATGAAAAGAGACTGAAACGTCCTCATTGTTCAAAGTCACATTTACCGCATTTTTTCACAAAACATAGATTGCGATGGAATTGTGCGCATTACAATACTGAAAGAAGAAGAAATGTTTTAGTGACCTAGACCTTTAACTAGCTCAGAGACTAGATGAATGAGCTCGACGGGCATAGATATCTCTATATCGTGGCTGTGAAGCTGATGACGTATACTCTCCTGCACCAACGTGTCTGTTCTCAGTTTGTTATGAATGCGTTGCAATGCGTCGAATGGACTGTGCATAATGTATACAAAAGCAGTGCTATCTTGAGTACTTGTGTGCGTGCGACACACTGCTTCTGACCACAGAAGAGCATTGTACTGGTCACTTAGACCAAATTATCATTTAATATTTTTCATTTGGATGCCATATTAACACGCGCCCCGGTGGCCGGCTGGATACCCTTCGCTCGGGTGGGGGTCAGTTTTACCCCACTGAGATTTAAGGAATTGAGAGAGCTAAAGACCCCAAATTCACAGCATTTATTAGGCTGTATGTGAACTCACTTAGGTCAAAGGTTGAGGTTCCTAGGTCTTGACTTTGAGGTGAAATAAGGTCGAACAATGTCAAACTCCAGGCTGGTCTCCGAAGGGCCCCTGGAACCTAGATAACTGTTCTTAGGAAAAGGTCACACGCTCATTTAAAGTCAGTGACCTCGTTTGACGTTTTGAAGGCCATGGTGGCCAAAGTCATACAAGACCGTTTTGAGTTTTGTATTTAGATAAGCGACATAGATTACGCTAGACAGTATGCTGCTGAAAGTGTTGATCCGGGTCACTCTACGTCAGTGACCTAGTCTGACTTTCAAGAAGTCTATGGAGGTGTATAATGCTGTTCCTGGTATCAATAAATTCTAAATGAGCACCAAAGAATGCCCATACAGCCAGCCCTTGAGTAATAAAACAGGCTGATTTTGACTTTGGTCTGACCTTCATACATGACCTCAGGTCAATGTAATTTAATGATTCAGTTGTTGTGCTGCCTAAGAAAGTATCTCAGAGATGTGTGACTTCGTCTAGCACCTCGTTGTTGGATGAGACTGAAAGATTATCTAGAAATTGTCTTCGCTGAAACCATGGCCTGACTTTGACGTGCCGTAGGTCAGCGACCTTACAAGGTACATATAAATGTTAATGTCAGACGATCCGCTAGTCAATTGTTTAGTCGCTCGTGTTTTATGACATCGTATGTGTATCGCTGGCGTTGCGTCCCACTTGCATGTGTTGCGTGTTCTGTGTCCGTCTATGTGATATGTACTGACACGGGGTTAGAGAAGTCCCTCGCTAGATTTCGCCAAGGTTCGCAATAGAAATAATAATAATAATAATAATAATAATCATCATCATCATCATCATCATCATCATCATCATAACAATGGTCTACAGTTATGCAAAATTTGGCGCCGCTATACCACGCCGCTCGGAAACTATTCAGGAAAAACTTCGGGGGGTCAATTTGACCCCCACCCGAGCTCGTGTTAACTTGACCTAAGCTGACCTCAGGGGGGTCTTTAGGTCTTTCTGAAATAACATTCTGTGTCTGGAATACTTTTGTCTACCTAATAAGATAAACTCAGTCAGAAGCGCATCGTGAAAGAAAACAATCGAAAGCATCGTTCTAGTAGGCCAACTGTTGACTAATTTTGAACGGTAGCCTGACCTGACCTAACCCTTGTGGAGGAACAAAAATGGTCGAAGTTGACTTCCCACAGTCTGAACGCTTACTTTCGTGCCATCAATATTCGTTTTGATGTGTCAACATATGTTTTAACTGCATCAATCGGGACGACCGTTTCTTCCTTTCGTGACCTTTAGTGATTTCACATTTGACTTCACGTCAAAAATTTCGTGCGTTTTCTTCATGATTTGATGGGATTTTCTCAACGGTATCTTTTTTGCTGTACAACGTCTCAAAATTGAATATCCCAGGAGGGCGGGGGGGGGGGGGGATCAACTGCCGCTCGGCCGGGTTGCCGCGGTTGTCCCAGACCCCCGGTCGGGCGCAGGTTAACAGACACTCGGGTGAGAGTGGTCAATTCGACCCCCGAAGGCTTATACAAAATAATTTTCTAACGGTGCGATGTAGCGGCGCCAAAATTTGCATAGCTGAACGCAATGGAAAAGGGGATCGTTGAGCATAACAATTGATGCACCTTGTAAGGTTGTTGACCTATGGTAGGTCAAATTCAGGCCCAGGCCGTCGGCGAAGACAACTTCTGGCGAGGCGTTTAATCTGATGCGACAATGCAAGATCAAGCCATGCCTTTCCGAGTGTTAGATCAAGCCATGCCTTTCCGAGAAAGTTTTTTAGGCAACAAATCAATTATCAGGCAATAAAACGATCAGATTTGGGATTGCAACTTACTTAGATCTCGGGTTAGTACGAAGGCCAGACCGACGTCAAACCACACTACTTTTTTACTGGGGTGCCTTCTTTAAGGGGTAGTTTCCCATGCTCATTTTGAATTTATTGATGACAAGGACCGTAAAAGGTACCTTCCATGGCCTTTTTCAAAGGACAAAGAAGATCACTGATCTAAAAGCTGCCAGATGGATCCTTTGCTTTTAAGAATGTAGCGTTTTATGCCATCCTTAACGCTCATTCAAATCAAAAATAAAACAATCTTTGGGCTTTTTGTCACCATGACACTCTTAAGATCAAACAAGGTCACTGAACGAAAGTGTACTTAGTAACCTTTTGCTACAAACAGGCATCTAAGTTTAAGGCGACTGTGTGAGGGGATCTGGGACACTTTCCTTGAGTTTCGCTTTATTTGACATTATTCAACCAAAAGGTTATGCCCTATGGGCCTCAAATTTTGACACAAGTGATTT